TCTATCTATCTATCTATCTATCTATCTATCTATCTATCTATCTATCTATCTCTCCTGTTTATAATTACCAGCTGTATTCACACACATGGTAAATAATAAATGGGGATGGTAAAACACATTGGGCCCTGACTGTTGTGTGAACGCAGCTTGACACCCCCCGCCCCCAAATATGCTACAACTTAAAAAGGATGCCCTGGTTCCCCTAATATGCTAAGATAAGCTGGCTTCCTGTAAGGTCCTGAAGCCCGCATGATTCAACTCCTTGCCATCAATTTTCACTCAGCTGCTAAACAGGTATTCAGCTCAGCCCCGGTCTCAAAACCAAGCGGGAGGAAGAATAAAGCAGTGATTTCTTTCTCTTCCCCCAGGTGTGAGCTGAACCGAACAGCAAAGGGATCTAAGATGAACACGTGTCCTTAGATATGGACTCTGCTGTAAACAGAAAGCAGATGAGTCTGAAAGTGGAGACATTTATTAAAACTTGTTCCATGCCAAAGAAGATGCTTGCACACACTCTGTTAGGTTTAGGCTGATAGAACACCTTCAAGAGGGCCAGACACAGACAGGACGAAACTCACACTAGGGATCAGGGAAGAACGTGGAACCGAAAACCGCAGACCCCCAGCTCAAAAGGGGGGAAACGGTACCCATGGTCCTCCTCGCCCAAAGCACTAGTCTATGTGCTAGCACCAGGACGACGCAAAGGTTTCCCACTGGATTATCCCTGATGAACCCCATCAGCTCCAGCCTGCAGCCCGAGACATCGGCGGATCGAGTCTGCCACTCTCTGGTAGACAGTGTGTTGATCTGCTGATATCAGAGCTTAGAGAAAAATATCAGCAGGTCCAGGAATGTACGTGGAACTGAAGTGACCTTGGCCAGCTTCAGCCTCTAGGTGTGTTAGGGACCCCCGGTGCCAGGCTGGACTTTCTCCTGGCTAGCTGATTGTGGGAACCGGGGTCTGGGGTCTACAAAGGCTGAGCTACAGGGTTACCGAGACAGGTGGAAAGAAAACAAGGAGGTTAGTAAGTTCAGGCGGGACGGCAGAAGCCACACGTGGACCGCCTGACTTCCACAAGAGGACGACCGGCTAGGCCACGTACGGGAAGCTGAGGAGCAGCCCTTCCGAAGGATGTAGCTTGAGATTCTGCAGGTCCAGCTGCTTCTCCTCACGGCCGGGATGGGTGCTGAGCTCCACCCCTACTTGGGGGGGCAGGTGAGAGTGAAGGAGGGAGACCAGCCTTTCCTGGGGGGCGAAGTTGAGCACCACCAGGAAACGCTTGTTCTGGTCCCACATCCGAAGGTAGGAGAAGACCGACGGGTTGGAACTTTCGACCAGGGAAAATTCACCATGCAGAAGGGAGCGTTCCTTGCCTCGAAGCTCACTCAGCATTTGGAAGAAGGTCAAGATGGACCCCTGGCTGCCCTGCTGTGCCTAGGAGAGAAAAATGGGAGGGGGGATTAATCATTTTCTAGCTTTCTTCTGTCTAGAAGGGCCTGCCAATGGCTTGCTGCAGAAAAGACCAGCAAGTCCACCCTGCTCCAGGCAGAAGCGTCGGCATCTCGGGGCCAAACTGTTACAGCCTCCCTCAATAGGGTTCCCAAAATTCTCCAATAAGGTCTCCAAGGTCCTTTGAATTATGCAGAAATGCCCCCATCGCTTGAGATGGCTTGTCTACTAGCCCTAGCGCAGTCAGAAAAAGCAAATGGATTCTCTTTCCCGAAGAAGGAAAATAAGAAAACCCTAACCTCGGTGGGGGGGATCTCAGCGCTCCACTCGTCCATTGAGCACGCAAAGGCAAAGGGTAGGCCTCGGCCACGGCATACTTTCCTGCTTTGGACCTCAGGGACTCCCTGCCCGCTGATGGAACGATTGCTCCGCTCAAATTAGGAGCAGGATTTGAGCAGGGAGTATTTCGTGGAGCATCCCTTCAGGATGCCCAGGAATTGCTGGCCTAAGATGGTTAATTCCATGCCTCCTATCTGCCCCCCATTTTTTTGCTTTGGGCCTTTGAATCGGTATTCATTCCTGGCGTAGTCCCTGCAGGTTTGTTTATTGCCAAGATTTTCAGAAATGGTTTCCTATTGCCTTCTTTATCCTAGCGCTGAGAGAGAGGGACCGGCCCAAGGTCACCCAGCTGGCTTCGTGCCTAAGGCAGGACTGGAACTCAGGGCCTCCCGGTTTCTAGCCTGCTGCCTTAATCCCTACGCACACCAAACTGGCTCTCGTCGTTCCTTTTACCCCAGCAAAATTAGCCTCTCCTCACCTGCACAGTGACGTTACTGGCTGCTAGGTCAGCTTGCTGCGGCGCCCCTTTCGAGAATCCGTAGTTCGCCGTGTTGTCCCATTGCATGCGTGTGATGTCGGACGCCACAGGCTGGAGAGGGGGATGAAGAGGAAAGTTGTTGGCAGACCCCCAGTGCAAAATATCCCCCCCCCCTTCATCAAGCACCTCTGGCACACGGTCCCAAGGAAAATGCCCTCTGCAGCTGGAAAAATTAAATCCCCCAGTCTATGCCTCCAAAGCCACGGGAGAGGCATTAGTGGGTTGACTTCTTTGAATACACGTCTAACTCTAGATGGTGCTCCTCAACCTCAACGACTTCAAGAGGTGTGGACTTCGACTCCCAGAATTCCCTAGCCTCTAAGATCAGTATTTCTCAACCTCCACCACATTAAGATATGTGGACTTCAACTCCCAGGATTCCCCAGCCAGCATTGTGGGAATTGAAGTCCAGGCATCTTAAAGTTGCCAAGGTTGAGAAACACTGCAGTAGGGCACCCCATAGAAGCTGAACCTATACCCTTTGCCCTGACCTTGTCGCCCAACGTCCTACAAGCTCGTCTCGCCTCCAACATTCACACTTATTCCCACCTCCTGTGGCTGATCTTACCTGGACTAGGGCATCTCGCAGGCCGATTTCATCTCCGTAATCTGTGAAAGGGGTCCCTGGCAGAGTGTAAAGGAGCAGATGATGTAGGCGGAGCAGTTGCTCCCCCATAGCTTTGGCCAAATGCCCGATATCAGGTCGGCCCACCTGCGGAAAAGTAGCCAGTTAGCATCCAAACGAAGAAAACCGAACATTTCCAAGCTGGGTTATGCAATAAGTTGACAGCGAGCGTAAAACTCAACGAAGGAATGCAAGAACTGTCGAAGGAATCCTTTCTCGATCCTGGGAAAGGGGGAAGCGTGAGAAAGAAACTCAAGATCGCCCTGCCTTGATTCTATTGGGTATGAGAGGGAGTCGAGGGAGACTTGGGCAGACTTTCACGATTCTGCTATCATACTCTCCAACAATAAAGGGGCATTTCTGTGATCCTTGTGGTGGCTCTTTCCTGTCTAGGCCTACCTCGAAGGGCTGACCGTTGGGAGGTTTTGACGGAAAGAAGCTGCAGGCAAGAACAAGGGGCCCTATTTGCTCCTTGGGGTTTCCTGTGCTATACCGTGTTGGATGAACTCTATCTTTCTAAAACTCAGACAGAAGAATTCTGCAACTGGAGCCGCCAGGAATTCGGAGACGTTCTCTTTTCACCTGGGAACATCTCCGTTCGACCCCAAGGCTTGAAACTTACGCTCCAGCTGGGCCATCTGCTTCCCGCTTCTTGGATATAATCTTCGATCAGTTTCTGGGCCGTGTGTCCTAGTTCAGTGTCGTTTAGACCAGGTGTGACCAGCCCCTGAAGATACTGGCTGGTTAGTAGATCTACCCCTGTGGTTTCATTGAGAAGGGAGAAAACCCCTTGAGCATCTTTTCGACCCGTCATTGCAATCAGCACCCTGTAAGGGAAGAACCGAGAAGGAGGTTGAATTAATACAGACCTGGCCAATGGTGAAAAGCAGCTGGGTAAAAATGGGAGCCCAAGAGGGCTGTGAGAATGGATGACACTATAAACCAGTGTTTCTCAACCTTGGGAACTTTAAGACGTGTGGACTTCAACTCCCAGAATTCCCC